ATCCTGTCCTTTCCAGGAAGGTGGACAGGTCGCTGGGAGACATCTCCTTTATATCGGCAGGTGTAGGCCAAGACTCGCCGAAAACACACTCTCTTATTGACGATAACTCCGGGCACTCGCACAGGACATGCCTGGCAGTCTCATCTTCCTGTTCACACATCCTGCATAGAGGTGTGTCCACTAACCTCATAATATGGAGGTGTTTCCTTAGTTGACAGTGGCCAGACAGAAATTCTACTGTTAAGCGTAGATTTTTCCTGGTCATCGCCAGATATTTCTTCGGTGCCAGCTTCCCAGGGTCGTCCAGGATGATCCTGGCAAGATTACATCCTTTGATTCCATCCCATCTCTTTAGGGATTGAGCATGGGTGTGACGTTTGGCTAGTTCCGCTAGTCATCAGGCCGTAGGTGCCACTGGGTCCTAAAATTCTTAGTCCAGTCGCTTCCTTGGCTAAAGAGCCGGCAGTGCGATTACCTCTACTTCTAACCCACCTCTACTACCTCTACCGAAGCTTTGGCTAAATCTTGGTGGCACTATAGTACTAGCCTTGAGGTAACATGTTGCCTGTTCAAGGCAGATTATGTTTTTGCCAGAAATTTCTTTCCTGGTTATTTCTTTTGTGGCAATTGAGATACCAGCCAGTTTTGTTTGGACTACGCTGGTATTTTTTCCCATTCCCCAGTATTCTGTGACTTGTCAAAAGCATTTGATTGTGTTAACCACAGAATACTGTTGCGGAAGCTACATCATTATGGAATTGCTGGAAACTTCCTGAAATGGTTTGAATCCTACCTTACAGGACGTAGACAGTTTGTTAAAACCAATAGTTGTTCAAGTACAAAGTATGTGAAAGCAGGAGTGCCGCAAGGATCGATCTTAGAACCCATAATTTTTTACTATATGTAAATGACCTGGTTACTGTACGTATTTCTGGTAGTTTCACTATTTCTGCAGATGATACAACACTTTTGTGGCATAATATGAATCAATATAATTTATATGAAAGCATCTGTAATAACCTCAATGAAATTAAACAATGGTGCGATGCAAATCTGCTGTCATTCAACACTAAAAAAACTAGTATAATGACCTCTAAGTGCAATCTACAAGAAATTCATATGGAAAGTACAGTAGTGGAAAATAAGATCTCTACAAAATTCTTGGGAATTAATATCGATGAGTGTCATAAACAAGAAACTTTCCTCCGGGTGTTTTGCACTCAGAATAGTATCAAAAGAACTAGGATTTCACGCCGCAAAAAAAGGTGTCCTACTCTCACTTGAGGTATGGCATAGCATTTTGGGGTGTATGCAGTAAACAGCTGTTTCAATCTGTTTTCATATTACAAAAACGTGCGGTACAGTATCTCTGTGGAGCAAAGTGGAATGATCCTTGCAAGCCACTGTTTTTAATGCATGGAATTTTAACTGTGACTTCATTATTCATTCTTGAATCAGCATGCCTTATACACAAGAACAAAGGTACATTTACTTCTCTGTCTCACCACAATAATACTAGACAAGCTAGCCAATTAAAGGTTCCTATCCTAACTAGTAGTCAAATCAAGAACTCAATTATATATAATGGAGTGAAAATGTTCAACAAGTTACCTAAAAGTTCAACAGAATGCGTCACGCTACTATCTTTTAGGAGAAACTTGAAGGCAATTCTGGTCAAAAAGGCTTACTATACATTAAATGAATTTTTTGAGGATAACCT